ACACATGGCAGTAGCAAATACCCAAGAATAGGCAACTTCCAGGTTGTTGCTAGGCATCAGTGGTTGTGGGATGATCACACAACTATCACTCGTGGGTTGTACAGCATGCAACTCTGGCAGTGCAGCACATTCAGTGTTTTAAGAGAATTCAAGTGGAGGCTGTACAAATCTATAAAAACCAATTATGTCAACAGTAAACTATTTGGATTTTCATAGCTAATACGTTTGGTAATCTTCCTATGAAGCTGACTTTTTTTGTACTTAAAACTTCAGCAGGTAGGTCTTCCACCAACAGTTGCTTTGCCTCTCCATTTTCTCTGGCTCATGTAGGCTGTTCTTAAATTTGATCAGAGCGGTACCAGCACAGCACTGAGTTGAACACACCATCATGGTGCGGGAAAAACCAAACCAACTACAAAACCCCCCAAGGTGCCAAGCAGGCTTGAACGTCTGTACTTTGTGTATGTCATGTGCTGGGTACTCACATCTGTGTTTCTCCAAAGCCTGCGCAATCACTTCTTTGAGGAGGAAGCTTGTGCACACAAACACGTGGAATACTCACAGCAGACGGAGCATTTCACTTTGTGAGCTAATCTGGAGCACTGCATGGAGGGGAACTGACTCAAACTACCTCTTAGCTGTAAGTTTACTTCCTCTCTTATGAAGACAGTCTGAGAGAACTGGGGTTGTTTAGCTGAAGGAGAGAAGGCTTCAGGGAGACCTTATATCAGCCTTCCAGTGCCTAAAGGGGGCTTATAAGCAATGTAGAGAGTGACCTTTTACCAAGACCTGTAAGAACAAACCAAGGGGCAGCAGTTTCTAACTGAAAGAGGGTTGATTTAGATTAGACAGAAGGAGGGCATTTGTTACTGTGAGGGTGGTGAGACACTGGAACAGGTTGCCCAGAGAAGTTGTGTATGCCCCATCCCTGGAAGTGTTCAAGGCCAGGCTGGATGGGGTTCTGAGCAATCTGGTCTATTGGAAGTGGGCCAGTGGGTTGGAAGGAGATGATCTTTAAATTCCCTTCCAAATCATTGCACAATTCTGTGATTCTAGAACCCACTTTCAGGAGGTTAAAACATTCTTATGGAGGAAAAACTCAGATACAGCAAAACAAAACAGTCTTTTTACTGAACTACAGTGCTCCAGCCTAGGATGTATAAAACAAAAGTGTTTTGCCTCCGTTTGACCAAATCTTTTGCTACGAAGTATCCCGTTTGCTTCCTGCACTTTCCTGTTTGAAAACATGCTGAACTGTAATGTGGTCCTGATCCTGGAGAAGGTAAATGAGATTATATTCCGCTTCTGTAGGTAATAGTACATCAGTATATCAATACAGATATAGTGAAGTCAACATAGCGATGTGAGTTGACACCAATTATTTCCTCAGAGTGTATCAACCAAATCAGCCGAACTTGTTCGCACTGTACATGACTGGGCTTGTCCATGGCTGCCAGAAATAGAAAATCAGGAAACAGCAAGCAGTAAACAGGACCTTGACACGGAAGGTGTCAGATTGCTGCCAGAGGAGAAGCTGAGGGGTCACTGCCAATGTGCCAACAGCGCCCCAGTGCAGGCAGAATCTGCCCCTGTAACTGCATAGGGACCAGCAGCCCCCCCAGAGGTGGCCACCTGCCCCCACTGACGGTGAGTGGGGGTCTGGTCCCACAGCTACGCAGCACACAGTGGTGCAAGACATACTGGACAAGGGGAAGAAGTAACATCACTGCTCCCTATGACCTGCGAGCAGAGAAGCAAAACCAGGCAGGGGTGCTTTCCCACTGTGATGTGGGCAAGAAGGTGACTAAGCCAAAGCAGGCAGCTCAGCAGCTCTGCCAGTCCTATGGGCACTGAGGAACTTCTGGCTCCTTTTGTGGCCCCCACAAGACTTGAAGCCTTGGGGTTGTCAAGGGCCAATGACAACCTCAGTCTTGCACCATCAGTACCCATGAGGGGCAGGAAGCAGAATGGATACGTCCCAGCTAGCCTGGCACAGATCCTCACTCATTCACCCTACCATCCCTCCCTCCCCCATGGGTCACAGCCTGGCTCAGCCATCACCTCAGGCACAGGCAGGCCTATAGCTTACATTCACTCAGCATTGCCAAAAATAACATTTCCTATCCAGTCACCAGACATAACAGGGAGAGAGAGGGGGGAAAATCAACATTTGTAAAATGAGTTTCCTCTCCAAGGCAGGATAGGCAGAATCCCTGGTCCATGCCTTCACCGCCTTCGCTTCTCCTTGCAGGGAGGGTTTCCCTTGGCTTCAGCAGCACCACCACATGCCCAGCTCCAGGCCACGCAGCGAGGTTATTAATGGGGAAAGCGACCTCACAGTGATGGAGAAAAATGTGCTGCAGCCATTGGGGTGCAGAAGTGCTGGCATTGAACCAGTGCATGGCACAGCTGCTTCAGTGCTGGCCCAGCATGACTAGTGGCCCAGCCCACAGCTGCTGTGCTACATCAGCTGCTAGGCTGTGTGGCTGTTAAGGCAACAAGAGTTAGAACAAGTGTGCTTCTGCGCAGTTCTTGTGCTGCCAGTCCCTACCCTGCAGCTTCACTGCTCTTCCCCATCAGTAGGTGATGATTAATTATTTCAGTAAAATTATGTAGGATGGAAGGTGAGGGAAGAGGGGCAAAAAGATGTCTTCAGCAGTGCCGGGATATCAGGATCTATCTACAGAAGCAACATGGAAATTAATGAATTCATGATAGGATACAGGCCATATTACATTGCTTCTCTATGCTCTTAAAACAAAAAACAAACCCAAAATAAACAAAGAACAAAACCGCAAAAAAAAAACCTCAGCACCACTAAACAGAAAAAAACATTCTGTGCAATTTCAGTGTTGAGGGTTGAACTGTGCTCTCTAATAATGCTTGCAGACATGCATAGGCACCACTGCAGCAGACAGAGCATCAACACTGGGCTGTAAAAATGGAGCTCAGCTATATCAGTTTAAATTACTAGTACATTTAAAAAAAAACTCCAAACATCCTACATCAAATTCCAGAATCTTTCAAGTTTTTCTTGAAGGCAGAATCTGACTCAGAAAGTGATAAAGAAACAGGGCTAGCATGCACACTGAGAAATCCAGATCTCCTCCTGACCTCTCATCAATAGCTCCCATGTATTATGCAATTTCCCAAGTGTAACTGTGCAACCCCACGATCTCACAAGTTGGTAGAGTGACAACCCATCATAACCCAGACATTTCTCGAGAACAATAGCCAACAACACTAAAAAGCCACAACATCATGCCAGACAAGTGTAGCTCTAAGGGCAAAAGCAGAGCACACAAGACTGGTTCCTGTGTCATCTCTTTTGGTAAAAACACCCAAGTTGGAGCTTTTAGAAATACTGTAGGAATTCCTTAAGATCTGATATGAATAAAGCATCTCCCAAAAAGCCTGACCTTGTAATCAGTACGTGCTGCAGGTTCAGACATCAACAGAGGCAGCAAAGCCAGTGCTGAATCTCTCACAGGCATGTCAGCAGATCGTTTTGGTCACAGACAAGACTGAGGTTGTGGCCTGCTTGCCTTTTTCCTGTCCTGAGGGAAGACTAGATACTGTCCCTAGAATTTTGTTAATAGCTAAAAGGTTTCTAATTGTACTCATTTTTATATACCACAGCTCAGATGCTGTCCAGTCTCTGACAGACTGGTAGGTATTAAACCGCAAACCCAAAATATGACATCCTTTAGCAGTGCCTGCAGCAATAGGAAAAGGGACAATGATTTTAAACCATGAGAGCGTAGATGCAGACTAGATATAAGGAAGACGTTTTTTTTTTTTGCAGTGATGGTGGTAAAATGCTGGAACAGGATGTCCAGAGAGGTAGTAGATGCCCCACCCCTGGAAACATTCAAGTTTAGATTGGACAGAGCTCTGAGTAACCTGACTGAGTTGAAGACATCCCTGTACAATGCATGGAGGATTGGACTAGATTATGTTTTAAGGTTCCTTCCAACCCAAACTATTCTATGATTCTATTATTTAATGTTCAGTGTTTTTTCTCTCAAGCTTTTCTTCCCCACTACATGTGTACTGTGAATTAACTTGAGAGCAGAAAATAAAGCTACTACTCTGCAGCAATTTGCTCAAGAAGATGTACTTTTGGAAAAAAAAATGCATTAAATATACTTAGTAATAATTTAACTCATTATTCATTTAGGAATTGTCTCCCCATGCACTAACTGTGATTTGGGTGGGACAGAGAAAGGCAGTGACAAAGCATAAGAAAACTAACCCTTTAGTTTTAGAAAATCACACCAGAAGCATTCAAAGGAAGGTGAAAGAATCCCCACACAAGAAACTGAAGAACTGAAAATCTGCAACCTGCATCTTTGAGGTTTATTGTTTGGGACGAGTAGGGTTTGTTGGTTTTTTTTTGGGGGGGGGGGTGTCTGTGTTTAAAGACTAGAAGTTCTTCACTCTAGTCATAGCTCCTGGGTCACTGCATGCATTCTTTGTAGCCAAGAGCTGTAGGAGCTGTATTAAGCCCCTCCTTTTTACTGCAGTCAGGAGAGAAACCATGTACCTCATAATTGCTCCTTCACACGCTTTTTACTCCACAAAAGAGAGTCTGTCTTCCCTGCATTAGTTTCACATCAGAACACACCCGTCTTCACTTCCCTCCAGGTAGAGGTAATTACTACTCCAGGTAGTAATGTCATGCATAGCTGATAAAAATCAAAGCTGCAGCTCTGCAGTTTTAAAAGGAGTGGGAAGGGAGATAGAACACAGGTACTCACAGGTATACCTACAGGCACTAGAAAGAGGTCTTTACAAAAATGCAGACAAAATAGGCTGCTTTCTTTCCCAAAAAACTCTTTGCTATCTACATTAAAAAGAAACACAAGACAAAAACGAACCAAAAAAACTTCCTCCTGCAAATCGCAATTAGAGCAGCAAGAGCTGTGATGCTGCTTGTTATTACATGGAAGGCCACTATGGAAGGAGAATTGCCATTAATAAAGTCTCCAAATGAATAGTACAGATCCACAGTGATTTTAATAGTTCAGTTTCTGAATTGTACACTGTCATGTCTGACATAAAAAGACTGTAATTGACTTATTAGCTACAAATATAAATTATACCTGGATTTTCTATTTTTAATCTTAAGAATAAAAAAGTACCATGTGTTCAATCTTCCAAAGTTAGAATCATAAGGGGAAAAATGATAATTATATGAAAGTTGTCAAGAGTACACAAACAGATCATTTATATGCAACATGAAATGACAAGTCACTAAAAGTCAGACTCCTTCAAAACTGTCCAAATGATTGTCACTACCAATTGTACTAACACACCATTTGTCTTCAGAGCCCATAGAAACTGGCAAGTCTTACTCCATAATTTCACTTGCATTCCCATTTTTATACAGAGAGCTTCCCAGAAGCTTTTAATGGCCAGAAGATTTTTTTTGTTGGGTTGGTTTTGGTTTCTTTTTGGATACACCATTTTAGTCTATTTATTTATGCTTTGACTTTTCCTTTCTGGTGAGCTGCAAGCACTTCTTACTCCTCATTTTGCTGGAGCGAACAATCCCTCCCCTTTTCTTACGTCACGTAAACGGGTCAGGCACAACAACCTGATTTTGTCCTTTTTGCTGGCTTGTAGTCCGTGATGTCTACAGTTTGCGGTGGCCCCTCAGCTTTCTGCCGTGCAATTATTGGGACTACCATCTCAAACACAGTTTCAAAGAGGTAGTCCACCTTGTATCCTGTTTTTGCACTGGTCTCAAAACACATTTTCTCAGCTGCTGGAACATCCTTCTCATCTAGCATTTTGTATTTCAGTATCTTTTTGTAGAGCGCAATCGCATCCTCTGCACGGACTTGTTTTCGCACCTTCGAGCCACAGCTGGCAACAGACTTCTCAGGTCTATTTTCATCTGGTGGTAAAGTACAGTCATCACTGAGGTCAACTTTATTTCCAACAATAGCAAAAATGCAGTCAGCACTTGCACTGTCTGTCAGTGCCAAGAATCTTTCTTCCAGCTCTGTCAGGCTTTGGAAGCTGTTCACATCGTACGTGAGGATCACAGCAGCTGCTCCTCTGCAGTACATAGACCCAAGGCCATGGAACTGCTCCCGTCCTGGCAAAGGTTTAAACACAACAAAAAGTTAGTGTGCTGGAAGCCACATTATTAACCAAGTAAAAGAGTTTAAGGAATTTTAAGCCAATTTCAAAACCCTGTGAGAAGCAGTGAAGGTAAAAATGTGTTATTTGTAGCATTTTCAGGTTTTTTCTTCTGCTTTTCCTTAAGAGAGGAGCACTGCCACAGAATAACTCTACACACCGCTTGCTCAATCTCAGAGCAGGGAGTCTGGAAAGACAAGTGAGCAATCAAGCTCACACAGGATTCACACTAGGTGAAAGCAAAAAGAACTGGTTTGGGTTTTTTTATTAAATTGCATACTAGTTGACTTATGTCATATTAACTGCTACTCTGCTTGGGCTCACAGATGGCCCATCCACCTATTTAACCATTTATAAACAGAAGTGTACTGCTTCAAATTCTGCTAGAATTTATTACTTCTATAAATTCAGTATACATTTTCAAGTACATCCCGTTCAGAAATCTGGATCAAAATCAGTAACCAACAACTTCTAGATTTTGAGGGATTTTGTAAGCTATTTAATCAGACTAAACTGTAACTGCTACATGCCCACAGTTCTCAGGTACATTGGCTTTACAGGAAAAGACTCTTGTTGGGGGTATAGACCCAGTATTGATATGCATCTGTCCCACCACAAGTATGCATGCTTTTTTACAGTATTAAACACACATAATATAGAAAACCCTAAATACATTCTACAAGTAATTTGTCTTTTAAGTTGCCCTGGCCATCGCTCAATAACCAACAGCTAAAACGTTTCTTCCTCATCATTTAGCAAGTATCTTCCAGCACTTCTGATGAAGCCTTGATGGTATCCTTCAAGTTCATTTCTTGGAAGACAAAACTGACTCTTCTTTAAATTCTGAGAAGCAAAAATGTTCTTTAGTATTTGTAATGGGACTAAGGGAAATAAGGCAGAAGACACACTGTGTTACCATTGAGAACTGCTACTTTCCCCCAGTACCTGCTACATGTAGAATATGCTGTAATTCACTTTACACCCCAAAACCCAATCAAGAAACAGATAAAACACACTAGGTTTCAACCAGTCATCAGCATCAGCCTTAGGTCACTAGAGAAGTGTGAATGAACAAACAAAAAAAAAAGAGAGAGAAAAAAGGCAACTACACTCTCTTGTCATACAATCTCTTTGCACAGAACCTCAGTTTATAGAAATTCTGGAAGACACCTGCTTACATTCATCTTCTGCACAAAGCTACTGACCACCATGAGTTACGATATCATAAAATCCTTGTAAATGACTGTGGAATAGGGAAGGGAGAAGAAATTCACGCTGAAAAATGTGGGTCAGCACATATTGAAGAAACACATCTGCACATGAACATGCACATTGTGAAAGGAACTCAGAATCTACTTCAGCTGGGAACATAATCATCACTGCAATAAATCCTTCAACAAATGTCAGAACTCTACTCCACAAGTGCCAAAAGAGAGACAAAATGTTCATCATTATTCGTAAAACAAAACTGGAAAATGTCAAGATAGAACATGAAATCCAAAGCTCACTTCACCTTTAACACACCCAGAGAAATAGATTTGGAAAGGTGCAGAATTCACTATAAAGAGGTGTAAAAGGAAGGCGGTGAGAATGCACAGAATTATGTGAAACATTTGCATGAGGAAAAATTGTGGGATCTCTCAGGCTGGTGAATGATTGAAAAAAAGGGTAGAAACAGATGTCTATAAATTCAGGCCTAATACTGAGAAAGTAACTGAGGAACAACTATTTACTCTTTCTCATCAAACGGAAAATGAGAATTTCACATCAAAATCGTGCATGTAATTTAAATACTTTCCTGCAAAGCGAATAATTGGTAGTAGGTGTTATTTGACATTGCAGAGGTCAAAAGTTCAATGAATGGTATTCAGAAAACCATTAGGCAAAGTTAGTGGAGAACTGCTTCTGTGCAACTTTGTGTAACTTCTGATTTGCTTTCCCCCAGCAAAAGAAATTCTTTAATGATCTGGTAGGTAGGAAAAAAGGAGGTAGTAAAAAAATAAACCAAACCAATAATTATGCCTTTGTTTAGGTATGTTGGGTAAGGGCAAGGGAGACTGAGATACAGAGGAGGGAGAAGGTCAGTGCTTTTGCAATTTTTCCTCCAATCTCATGTTTAAAGTTGCACTGCAACTGAGTCTTTAAATGTCTCCAATTTTCCAGTAAAAGTTTGTGCCATGACTGATTTTGTTTTCATCCGAACCCTGATTATACTGTGGTCTGGAAATCACAATGGAACATATATCCTCCTCTGTTCTCCCACTTCAGATGCCTAAACCATAATATCCAGCCCCCAGAATCATTTGCTACAACAACCAAGTACTAGAACAATACTATTATTTGTTTTATGGAATTCATATGCTAATCTAATCTTGTACAGCAAGATTAAACCATGACACTTCTACATGGTAACTACCAACTGATTACTTCTACAACTAATATATTGTTTAAAAGGGGAAAGAAACAGAAAGAATTTACTTTGCATAAGGGGTTAATTATGCCAGAGGAATAATGGATAGTGTCCCTCACTCACTCTCACAGAACAATCTACATGCAGAAAAAACTGCATAATGCACTTTTTCAGCAGTTTCCTTGCACAGACTACTTCTGACACTTAAGGACTGGAACAACTCTAACTTTGGAAAAAAAAACCAAACTACACTAAGTATTTAAACTAATATCTGTCCTCAAGGTGTCAGGCAAAATAGCATAAGACATTAGGTTGACAAACCAACCACATGAGAACAGCCATTGCCTTCTTATAGCCAGTTTTCTTTCCCTGGACACATCTGGTCCCACTTCAACCACATTCCTTTTTATATAATTAGTTAAATTAAATGGTAAGCCCTGAGTCCAACAATCAAACAATTTCGCCCTTTAAAAAAAAAAATAAAGGTAATGGTAAGAGTGGCAGAACTACCAAATAATTTGCAGTCAAAGGAATTGCAAGAACCACCAAATCAACCACAAAGGCACAACATCAGGACATCAGGGAAATTTTTTAAAGCAAATCAACCAAAACTAATTTCCATTTTTCTTTTCATCCTTATATTTTGCCTTATTTACAGCAGTTTGACAACCTGTAGCCCCATCTGCAGCACCATTAGCTTTTCAGAGGCTCTTCCAGCAAGTATATGAAGTCTTGTTGGAGACTCCATCCACTCAGGAGCAGTGCAGCCCCCGAGCATTTTCAAAGTCTTATGACGGTCATCATAAACAAATCAAAGAATTTTGAGCCAAATGGACCTCAGTACAAAGTTGTAAGAAACCCAAGGGAGAAAGAAGGGGAAAGTAGAGTTGCTAGAGGCCTGCCTAATAAATAAGCAAGGCTAGATTTAAAATATGCTGAGACTTGAACTTGAAGCCTAGGCTTTGGTCTAACCAGCCTCCTATAGCACCCCAACCTCTCAGCTGGAAGTCAGAAGCCCCTGTGAATGCTTTCTCTGGATGGGACCACAGCCTGACCAAGCATTCCCATCCCTTCCCAGCTGTGGGATCCACTCACATCAGCCGTGCCTCAGTCTGCCTCATGGATTGGAGCTCTCCTCCTGCCCAGCCGCCCCTGAGGGTGGTATGCAAAGTAGCCTGTGAAGTTGTGTAGATATTTACAAGAGCAAATGACTTCCTCCAGACAGATTTGAATGCTCCTTACCTCCTACCCCTTCAAAAGCTTTCACCACAACTTCTGAAGTGGCACAACTTCCCACACATGCACTCTTTCAAGAAACTTCTACCAGAAGAACAAGTTTTAAATCTCTCAGTGTTGAGCACATACAAGAATGCAGAACAGGCTGTTTTAGTTTTGAGGAATAAAACACAACAAATACTACAGAGATAAAAAGGTCTTCCATCAAGTACTGAAAAAAGTAATGTTGCTACACTGATATCAGTCTGAGCAGAACCCTAAATTCTGAGTTCCTAAAGCAAATATGTAGCAGGGAAAAGTACACAAAGATGAGCTACAGAGGCACATTAACATTGCATTAAAATTGAACAAGAGTGCAAAATTATCCAGGAAGTTCTCAGTTCATAAATCGGGTATCTTCCAACAATTTTCACTGTGATTTTAACAGTATTGTAATCTGAACAGTAGAGAGGAATTAACACAAACACAAGGTACCAGCTAGGTTTTGCCTTTCAAATTCTTTCTCCTTTATAAAAGAGTCTGAACTTGAGTGTACATGGAGAGGGACAGGAACTGTGCCCTAGGGAGTTAGCCAGAAGACGAAAGAAAAGAGAAAGTATGACACCCATGACACAGCACAGAAATCAGTACTAAAAAGAAATGAGCTTTGAAGATTCAGCTGCAGTAGATGAAGGTTCAAGGGGTGACCCTTATGCTCTTGAGCTACCTCAGCAGGAACATCCGCGTGATCACAAGAGTAGACAAAGAAGCTCCCTTTTGAAAAAGGGAACAACATTTCCTTCTGTTCCCAGATAATGCAGTAATGTTGTGACCCTTTAAAGGACATCAGGGGAAACAATTTTTCTGGGAACTGAGATTTCTGTTTGTGCACATATACTGAGATATGTACTGACTATTAAACAAACCATAAAGGTCCTTAAAGGTTTCAGGAAAATGCTACTCCCCACACGCGAGTCAGGCTGTCAAGCTTTGACAGAATTAAGTCAGAGTTCTTTATTATCTTGTTCAAGGTTGATATTCATTTCTTGTACGTGACTTTATCACATTTCCCTTGAAGTAAGGAGCTTTCTAAAGAACTGGACTATGCTTGTGGTTACTTGGGGATAAAAAATAAAGCTGTCCATCCCAAAGGATTAACATGGAGGACATAAGCAGGAATTAGTGGAAACATGAGTCAGAAAGCACTGGAGAATTCAATTTCTACATATCCATGAGCTGTCCAAATACATGACTTCCTGATCTGTCAGAAAAATGCCAACGTTTGGTTTTCCTTCTAGACAAAATTCCCCATGGAATGAAAATCTCTGTGA